CTTTTGGAAAATCTAAAACATACCGTGACTACAGTCCACCTGAAATTCAGAACGGATCTGAAGCCGTCTGTCGACGGCTGCCTTGTAAGGTTATCACCACATGAACTCATTTGAAGTACTGTAATGAAGAGCGAGCACAGTAACATTTGAAATCAAGCGAGAACAACAAGGTGAATCATCGAACAACATTGTGAGTCATCGCACGCTTGTGCTATTACAAGCAAACGGTAGTTGCATTGTCGCGCATGCGACACCGCGTGGTCTAAACGATCATCTCTCCTCTTACAATGGTTGCAGAAGAACTAGCTTCCGGTCATTTTGAAGGCAACGAAAACAAGAATTACTCCATTGTACATAATTTCATCCACGATACAAATCGGATTATCATTTACTACATCGATGTGAAACAATGATAACTGCAGAGGGATCGTGAGGTGCTAATCACTAACATCCTTCACTGGGACAGTTCCTTGAAAATGAAAGCGGTACAACACAGCCTAATTTACCCGTCTGAGACTTTTTTTCGTTTTTTTTTAATTAGGAATTCTCATATCATTTGGATCACAATATCTTCCAGGACTTATGAACTCTGAACTTTTGTTTTTCCTTAGCTTAGCAAGGAATTCTGCTAACAAGAATCGAGACTCAGCGAATGCAACGGGATTTCTGTAGCAGTGGTCTGATCCAAATCAAGACTGAACGAACATCTAGATGACAGCGATCGCTCTTGCTCCTGTTCAGAGAAATTGTACATTAGCGAAAGACACGAAGACTTGGGCCGATCATCTTTGACATCTCCTGCCACAGTCACCACAACTCGAGGGATTTCGGAAATAGTTGAACTGTAATATAATACTTCAAATTGAAATTTCTCAAACTTTGCGAGGCTGTAGAAATATTATCACAAGAATGCTGAGTTATGGGCAAAAGTCGTGCCCCAGGCGGGAGTCGAACCCGCACCTCACGCTTTCCGGGCGAGTGCGCTATCCGTTACGCCACCAGGGCCGCTTTTACCCTCTCAGCTTAACGGCTTATGCCGTAACCTTACAGCACTCACACGTTTAACTTGGTGAACTTGAAAACTTGTAAAGCCTTCGGCCTTGCGGTTTCATGCCAATATCTAATTACGACTGACAGCCGGTGCCCGTGCGCACACTCCCCTGCTACAGCACCAGAGTCCTGTGTTTACTGCGGCATAAGCCGTTAAGCTGAGAGGGTAAAAGCGGCCCTGGTGGCGTAACGGATAGCGCACTCGCCCGGAAAGCGTGAGGTGCGGGTTCGACTCCCGCCTGGGGCACGACTTTTGCCCATAACTCAGCATTCTTGTGATATCGGAACGCGTACTGCGGCGTTAAACAGCAATTATCATAACAAAACAGCTGCAGAAACAGTTTTAGAAAGAATCCCAGTTCATAACTAAGGCACGTTTCTAGCTAAACTGAGATGACTTATCAAAATATTGCGGAACTTCTAGATGCTGATACGACGATTCAAAAAGGGCTCTGACTCACATGGAATTTTGTTCATCTGTTGTACCCAAGCGGGTACCAAATGGGCAATCAGCTATGGTGATGCAGCAACGCAACAGCCATGCTTTCACCATTCTACAAAAAAATCGTCACCAAGATGACATCATCCCCCTCACCCCCCCCCCCAAATTTTTCGGCTCCGCTTCACAGGATATCCTATGAAGAATGAGCTTGCGTTTGAAGAGAACGAATCAAAGGTACACCTTCTGTTTGCAGCTGAACTCTACACGAAGTCTCGAGAGCGCTCATTATCCCCGTTCGTGCAGTCCTTATCACCGTAACGTTCAACCCAGAGACCAGGCTCTGCAAGCTCTAGGATGAGAATGAATTAGGCTTTATCCTTGTATCGCCAGTGCTTATGCTTTTTAGTGCAAAAGGGTTTCTGAACTCCGAATGATAAATGTTAACGGCATCAGCCAGGGTCAAAGCTCAGAAGAGCCACTTTATGCGATTTGATAACCGCTGGAACAAGACGATTATCGACAACGAAAAGATGCTAAACTATCTTGCAAACAACTTAGTGGTCGCACTTAATTGTGAAAGCGATAGAAAATTGTGTGGAATGGAATGGAAGCGGGCTGTTTCCTCCAGCACAGTCAGCACGAGCAGCAACTCTTCGATCAGATTTTGCTCGCCTTCCTTGTGCGGTCTTCGTGTAGCTTACCATTCATCGGCAAGCTACCAGCAAGTTCATCTACGGAGGGTCGCGATAGGGTGCTGGATCATGTAGTACCTTCACCTCGCTGTCCCCCGTTGGCGACACCCTGTATATGGCGCCGCTGTTCTTCATACAGGACTCTCATTTCAGTTGACTAGACAAGGTTTGATTTATTGGGTTGGCTCATAGTAATGGCGTTTTTCTAACACAAAGGTTTTATATGGAATGTTCAAATTTTTCCAATGGATTCTACACTTTGATACAATTTGATAGATGGTTTTCTGCTCTATGAGGTAGCGTGGTTGCTTTCCTACTATTTCTTGACTAATAATGATTTTTATTCGATTGAAATGGGGACCCAACATCCACACAAAAGTGAGTTTTGTCAACAACTTTTGCACTTTATCTCGGCCCTCAAATTACAGATGAAACTCAGAAATTGCGATATATAGGACCAAGGAAAGATGCTAATTATGAGAGCTCGAAGAAGGTTCAAGCTATAAGGAGATGGGACTCGAACCTTGTAAACGTGTACCACGTGGTGATGCCCTCTTAGGGAGCGACTGCCTGCGGAACCTACCCACTTTTATAACTTAATATCAAATGACAGTGATCTTGACAATGATAAGAAAGCATTCCATGACCTCTGAAAATTCCACATCTTTAGTATGAATCTCCATGAATAAAGTGATTCAGTAGGCTCTCAACTGAACTCAATAGGGCATTAGCCGATGCTTGTCTGTAAGGCCGCAACTGAAATTTTCGAATCACTCGGACCACTGTGAGCATTTCTAATAGACATAGCCTCTTGGCCTATACTTAGCAACTGATCGGTATGCGGTTTCAGTTCTTTAATTAGAGGTGAAAAAGAGAGGTTTTCGAAAGTGCTCAATTTCGTCGATCTGGCACTCCACTTTGAGCACTTAAGCATTAATGGAAAGGGAAAATTAAAAAAAAACTAAAAACTAAAAAACTATCGCCGCAAGGAATTCTCTGCAAAATAGCACAGAACTCAATGGCAAAATTTTTCATCTTCAGAGCGATATCGAGTGAGGAAAAACGCCATTACTTATGGGCCGACCCAATAGATAACGGCACTTTTCACCCAGCATTTCCACTCACTTCTCGTTTTAAATGTTCAATTCTAACTTTAAATTTCGTATTTATTTCTAAGCACTCGCCACTCGCTTGCAAGATACAGGGCTATGAGCATACCTCGTAGTTCGCCTTTGCTGCATTAGAGCCGGACTGCTCTTCCATCCTCGGCCTTCTCCGTTTGTCTTCGTCAGCCATGCCGAGACCTGAAAGAGCTGAAAATTTTGCCTGATATTCGCCGATCATGGAGTGTTTTTTCATTGCCATTTAGGAGGGCTATAATTCGTTCTACACTCCTTATCCCTGCGACGGGGTAGGCGTGCTTCGAACATGGCACGAAACTGCTATGTTCGAAGGCCACGCCGAAAACTGTTCTAGACTGGAATATTCCACGGAATTACTCGTGGAATATTCCAGTCTGGGACAACTGTCATCTTGTTCTGTGTTGGACAGAGACACGACAACAATTGTGTCAAGATGAAAATATCTCACCAGAAGCATAGACACCTTCAGGTTAAGTTGAAGCATGCAGCCACGCCTACCCGATCTCAGGGATTTTGAGTATATGTTCTGAGAAGGGTGCTTGCCCGCGGCAAACTTTTTCGTCTGCCTAAAATAAGGCAATATTTGATCCAGTTTTTCTACGACTTTGCGTACGATGCTGACGAACCAGTTGTGTAAGGATTACGAGTAATACAAACAAAACCGAAATATAGTCACCGAAGAGTACTCACAAGGGAGGTCGTTCAGGGCGTGCCCCGCTTTTTCAAAACGGTCTTTTGCATTTTGTAGGGGCTCGTACATAGACTACAAAAGTGGTGTTCATTTTTGCTGTGCGGCCACCGGTATGCCAAAAAAGGAGCGAAATACCTCTCCCAAGGAAGGGCCATTTAAACCACCAAATGCAGTCCAGTACGCTTGTAGCGTCGAATACACGTTGTATTGAGGGTGATCTTCTCTTGAATGTTGTAAACCACTTCAAATATGCCCATTTATAGAGCACGATTCCTTATGCGTAGTGGGGAGATCGCAGAAGGTTGTGGCAGTGTCATAAGCAATGGACGCCACCTTCCCTCGTGGTGGTCAAATGGCGCAGTGGATAGTGGATCGGGCTCTGGAACGTGGTGGATGGTGGGTTCTTGGATCGGATCCCGCCACTGGCGATATTTTTGCATTTGCTGGGACTTCGTCCTTTAGCATTTCCAATTGTCTGTAAATGGGTGCAAACCGCAAATATACGATTTGGCACGTTCTGTCGCATTTCATGAGTTGATGTAGACATTTTTCGTCTATGATCTGCAAACGTTGGATTTTTCATTCATTACACACAAGTTCAGCAATTGTGATAAGTTTCTACGAAGCATGTGAAGCACAAGCGCTTGCCGCACCAACTACACTTGACAAAAGCCAACAAAGTGCAGGTGTTGTTTCCTTGACACGGGACAACGACCTCCCCATCGTTGAACCCGTAGTCAGTCGGAGTCAGGAATGGTTCAGGATGGTCCTCAATGTATCCAGCCGCCACCCAAGCGTATGCCAAGCACGGACGGAAGATGGGAGCACAGAACTGACGGTACGTCTGGCTGATGACCTGCACAGGAACGAATATGAATAAGTTTGGCTAGCACTGCCAACAAAAGGACCTTACTTTGAGGATGTTGTCCCTGTTGTAGGTGAAGTCAGGGTGATGGTGCGCTACATGATCGTATATGCGACGGATGTAGCGCTTGAATACACGGAAGAAGTACACATCCAATGGCTGACAAAGGGCTGTTGCTCCCGCTGGTATGGTCATTAATCGCACTTCCTTCCCATCAGGCACCTTTGACAGCACATTGGAGTGGTCCGTGAATCCACTCCAACTATCGACTAGGAGTATAGTCAGTGGAGGGGAAGACGACCCGACCACACACTCCTCGACGAAAGTTGGTACCTGCGCCTTTGTCATTATGTGTGTCTTCCCTGCCATCACCAGCAGGTTGGGTGCCTGCCAATGTCCACACTGAGGGAAGACTCCACCCCTTTCGGGGAGGATTACTAGCAGTTTTTCTCCGAGTCGACCGTCGGCATAGATCACAGGCATGGCCGTGAATGAGTGCGTAAGTGATGAGACTGAATGGACCAGTCTCATCACTTGCTTGGACCCGACCGGAGCTAAAGTTCTGGAACAATTTTGTTACTTTGGGGATGTAGTTAGTGAACACAATCCAAAATGTATTTATCATGAGGCCTACCTCTTCGAAATGACCTCCTTGTTCACAGCTGTCTGATCTGCGTTGGCGAAACGCAGATCTGGGATATTTTTTCATCTCTTCCCGTACAGCCTTCACGAAAGCCTCGGCTTCCGCTTCGACATCATGTCGACAACGGAGGCTCTTTGAAGTGACGAAGTGCGTCACCTTTCTCGAGCAGCACTGCCGCACAAACTTGGCAACCCATGACTTGGAAGCTCGGAAATCATCGATAAGTTTGTGCTCCAAATTTATGCGAAGGGCAATGTGTCGGATGACGCCATAATTCAAAGGAAGTCCTGGAAGGCCAACACTGACTCGCGCCATGTATCGAACACTACACGACCATAGAGCTGCAAGGCATACCTCGCTCAGCAGCTTCCAGCACCTCTTCACGGACTAGAGCAGAGAGTCGTTCGAACTTTATCACCCTAGCTTCCTCAACCATGGCTTAATAAGAAAAATCAAAATTTGCAAAGGTATGCATGTATATGCGGAAGTGATACAGTCCATTGCTGAGTCTGGAGTACCTCTTCGTTCAAGCTTCCCTGATGCGATTCATATGGCGTTTCGTTTTGATCCACCTGAATCGGTTTGCCGTAGATGACAGAAGGCCGGGTTCCGTTTTCAGTTTCACGGTAATATTTGATGGCCTGCTGGATCTGCGAAGACACAAAGATGATACAATGACCCTATCAGATCTGATATCTCTACTGGGAACTAACCGCCTCTTCGCGAATAGGCTTTCCGTAAAAGAGTACGGTCTTTTGCGATGGCAGATCATTCTTACTGCAGTCATCCTCTGTCGTCATCGGAGCCCAACTGACATCTAGTTGTTCATCAAGCGACACCTGTAAAGTCGCGGTAGTTAAGGAGTGGGATCACATAGTGTCTTAAGTGTGCTCTTATTACTCGTCAATCCGAACCTGGAAAGAATCTTCTTCCGTGTCACCATTTGCTGCGTTTTGAAGAATTCCTTTGAAGGCATCAGCAACCGCGATTTCTTTCCTCTTTGGAGGAGAAAAGTCAGGGGCAAATGATGAGAGAAGACGGCCGATGACCCTAGCTGGTGGAAACGACATGTTGAAGTGAGTAAGGTTCACAGCGTAGCCGATGTTGATGTGGCGGAAAGTTCCAGTAGATCACGACCGCATACATGTCCAAGCATGTACGAGCACACGAAAGAGTGGCTCAGAGAAATCACTGCGCCTGCTTGGCATACGCTTGGGTGGCGGCTGGATACATTGAGGACCATCCTGAACCATTCCTGACTCCGACTGACTACGGGTTCAACGATGGGGAGGTCGTTGTCCCGTGTCAAGGAAACAACACCTGCACTTTGTTGGCTTTTGTCAAGTGTAGTTGGTGCGGCAAGCGCTTGTGCTTCACATGCTTCGTAGAAACTTATCACAATTGCTGAACTTGTGTGTAATAAATGAATGAAAAATCCAACGTTTGCAGATCATAGACGAAAAATGTCTACATCAACTCATGAAATGCGACAGAACGTGCCAAATCGTATATTTGCGGTTTGCACCCATTTACAGACAATTGGAAATGCTAGGACGAAGTCCCAGCAAATGCAAAAATATCAACAGTGGCGGGATCCGATCCAAGAACCCACCATCCACCACGTTCCAGAGCCCGATCCACTATCCACTGCGCCATTTGACCACCACGAGGGGAAGGTGGCGTCCATTGCTTATGACACTCCACAACCTTCTGCGATCTCCCCACTACGCATAAGGAATCGTGCTCTATAAATGGGCATATTTGAAGTGGTTTACAACATTCAAGAGAAGATCACCCTCAATACAACGTGTATTCGACGCTACAAGCGTACTGGACTGCATTTTGGTGGTTTAAATGGCCCTTCCTTGGGAGAGGTATTTCGCTCCTTTTTTGGCATACCGGTGGCCGCACAGCAAAAATGAACACCACTTTTGTAGTCTATGTACGAGCCCCTACAAAATGCAAAAGACCGTTTTGAAAAAGCGGGGCACGCCCTGAACGACCTTCCTGGTCACCGGTGCAGTTTCTGGGTAACCTTTTTCTAGTAGACTAAATTAGGCAAAATATTACTGTGTGGTCGCCGTAGTAAGACAACTATTTTACACTTGACTTCCATCTATTTGACTGCTTTGGGATTTGGCTCATGATGCTTTCCTGAATGTCAAGCTAAATTAGTGAAAACTAAAGAGGGCACAGTCCTGCGAGAAGTAGTATAACTTTGAAATAAAATTATGTTGAATACTATGCTACAAGTAATTTGCTAGAAAATGAGCACTCATTCTCGTGGATAATGTTACAGCGAGAAGGAAACGAGCCGGCCGTTGTGGTTTTTCGAGTAGCGGTCACTAATATCGTAGTCCATTCCTCCACACTTCGAGAGAACACCCCCTTATTTCTCTCCTTGATCTAGCCACAAGAAAACAACTTTTAACCTTCCCTTGATGATGATGATGATGATCCTTTGATGAGACCTCGTACGATGACGTTGGCTACTCCTGCACATCTTCCCTAGTTCTGTAAGTTTTAGAGGTCCTCATTGATGAGGTGACCACTACAGACTGTCCATAGTGCTTTTATTGTCTTTCATGCGGCGCGCGTACTGGATCGTTTGTTGGAAAGAACTAGTAGCATCTTTCGCATGTGAAGCTTTTTCAATTGCAATTTTGATCCTGATCAGGCGCACTTTCGAGTCGTCCTATTCTATAGAGTTATATGTACACATTCCGAGAATTTTCTGATTCTCCAGTGCCACTGACTATGAACGCTCATTGTCTCTTGTCTGTGGCTATTTGAGACATCGGATTGTGCCACTACGTGGCAAGGCTCATCGCGTCGCCAGGCGATTTGTGGCTCACGAACAATAGTAAGAGTTCGTAATAATTCGGGCTTTGCCCCAAGTTCTGCAATATTGAGGGACAACTTGTACTCAATTCCTTCGAACGCTTCGATCTTCTCTTTTTCTGCACTCTCTCGTCCGCATGGCACTCTATGGCCATGCGGACTTTGTTCACTCCACCTTTAGCTCACCCACCCCGGAGTCCCCTCCCTTGAAAAATCCCGTTTCCTGGCTCGCCATACGTTTTTTGCACGTTTCGATGCTTTGGCAGCCGCTGCCCTCTATCCGTCTGCGTCACAGGGTTTCGTAACAGGACCATGCACAAAAGTTCAAGATGTCACGTAATACATTGAGAGCGTGGTGATGCTAGCTTGCGAAATGAGGCGCGTGACGAACGGACATTTTATGGCAAAATACTGGTTGATGGAAGAAATAATGGCACGTTCAAAGAAAAAAGAAAAGAAAAGAAACACGATTGAGGAAAATACAAATAAATGACGAAAACGATGTGAAGTGAGTACTGAGAATATATAGTATGTAATATAGTATATAAGGGCAATACTATGAAAGTGCTGAACAGATAACGAGAGATATGTGAAAGATACACAAAGAGTAAAAGTTAACTGCGGAGTTGCAATTAACTGGACGCCGCTTTGGGTTACGGTAGCGTGGCAGTAATACTGGAGTTAGCTTCCCGTCTCTAGTCTCATACCTCTGGATGGGGAGGATTAAAATTTCGTCCGTGCGATGGCGAGGTTTTTTGACGTCACCGCGGCGGCAGAGAGGGCGAGCGCCGATGGCCTGGGCCTTCGCCACGTGCCCCAATCGGAACCAACTATAACCATTTTGCTAAAACTTCGCCCCATTATAACGTCTGCGCAGAAGCGTTTTCGTAATAAAAGAAGGCTATTTTGCTATTGTTCACAATTCGCCCGAACAATGGACCTTTCTGCATTCTCTCGCTACTCCTACTAATTCTAAAACTGTTCACTAGATAGCAACTGTCCCTTTACTCGGACTAAGTGATTTGCTTTTGTTTAGTTTTCCTTTGCATTGTAGCAACAATTATTTTGCTGCACAGTTCTTGTGAATTTTTTCTGTTGTACAGACGACGCTGAACAATTTCTTAATATCTTCTCCATGTGATCTACGCTGCTGTAGAAATTTTCGTCTCAAATTATACATTATTATTTTTATATACATGAAACCAGCTCCACGGTACCGTAACCCGAAGCGGCGCCCAGTTGATTGTTATTCCGCAGCGGACCTGCGTATAACACCCAACTTTCGTACCACTACCATATTTGTTCTGTAGTACTTGCATAATACACTGTCCAGAGGTGGAAGGGATTTTCGTGCACGTTCCATTTCCATTATGCTTTCTCTCGCCTCGGCATAGGGTGATAACAAGTCCAAAGCAATTGAGTGTGCACTGTAATTGTTCCAAACTAGCGCTAAATGGTATCGCTAGGAAAATGTCATTTCATTGATCAAATCACATCTTTTACGTCTAGAGGTTGTGATGAAGGCGTTTTTTGCTTTTTCATTCATTAGGCGTGCAGTGAAATTTCATGCGTTGGGAAGGACATAAGAAAGAAAGTCCTGTCTGAAGAAGCTTAAGGCAGTATTTGACTATTACTATCCTAATCTTCCTGAGACAGACCTGTTTTTGACCGGCTTTTCTCTAAGGTGGCAGATTTGGTTGAAAACTCTGTTCTAGGGGTAGCTCGACCTCCTGAGCACGAATATTACATTTGCTTGGCCTGAAACTGTCTGGCGCCCGCTCCAAAAGGGTAGTTTGACTCCTTGACACGAATATCACATCCGTTCAGTCCGAAGGTGCCAGCAGCGCTAGACCTTAGAGGAGCGCTAAATGGTGCTGGTGTCAAAAAAGACAGGGCTAACAATGCATCATGTTCTTAATCAGGGTAGCGAAGTTTCGCCAAAAAAATTCCTTTGAGGTTTTGAGGTGGTAATAGTTGAATAGTGCCAAAGTTGAAGACTATTCGCTCATTATATTCATCTAACTGTTCCCCAGTTGCAAATAGCTAAATAAGCGTTGTGAGTGTAGTGAGCTGAATGTTCCTAACGCGGCGCATATGCCCAAAATGTAGAACCTCTATGTCGAGACGAAAGAAAGCTCAAGTGAAATGTGCACGAAGTTCCCGTCCATCCTTGAACAATGCATTATATGCAAGTATTTCAGCTCAATTCTCACAGTAGTACTGGCGTAGAGTACGGTGTTACACGTAGGTTAGCTGTGGAATTACAATCAATTGAGCGCCGGCTTTGGGTTGCGGTACCGTTGCGGTAATACTGAAGCTCCTTGTGGTGCAATTGCACAATGTATGCTTGCTGACTATTCTACCTTTTAGCTGGAACTACCAGAAAGCACTTATTGGTACCCTCTTTTCCGTTTCTCCCTTTAACTTCGTCCTAATAATTTTTAATGACCGACTTACCATAGTCAATGGCGGAATAGTCCCTTTTGTCTACAGAAAACTTTGAACGAGTCGAATTTGTGTTTTTCTCCGCTCTCTCTCGTCCGCTGGCACTCTGTAGCCATGGTAACTGCGCACATTCCAGCTTTTCACGCACCAAAAGTGGCTCACCCACCCCGGAGTCCGATCCCTTTAAAAAAGCTCATTTCCTGGCTCACCATAGTTCCTTTCACTTGCGCAGGTCATAGTCTTTCGCACCGCCCTGCCGCAGCGGTGACGTCAAAAAGCCGCATGCGCGCCCGGGTGAGTTTCTCCACGGAGCCCCTTTAGATCATCCTGCCATGAAGAGAGCCGAGGGTAAAACAGTAACCCGAGCAAACTACCTTGTTACTTGCTTCTTTAGCCAGCAATTCATGCCTTGTTGCCAGTTGGTATTGTTTGTGAGCAAAATCGAATGGAAATATGAGCATAAAAATGAAAAATTATTATTGTTTTTACCTTCGTTTTAGCTTTTAACAATCGATGCCTCTGACGTTCCTGAATATCGAGCTCTTCTCGGAATCGCATTGCTTCTAGGAGGGCTTCCATCTGAAAAATAGACATAGAGGAATTTTTATGTACAGGCTGCCTCCAAGGAGGGAAATTCAAAAATCCTTCCTAGGATGACTCAGTCAAGTATTACATATCTTAACCGACGACGGAGCTTCAAAAAACTTGTGGAATGTTAACTGACCTGTACGGTCGAGGAAGATCGTTTTATAGACCTGAGCATAAGCATTAGAATAACGAATGAGAACATGAGCAAAATAGAGACCGTGTATGCCATTCGACCAAAATCTGGATCGTCCAGAATGTACGATGCAAGTGTTGCTTCATGACGAGGAGCTGCAAACCTATAAAAATGGAAGTGACAGATGTAATTGTGACTGATGATGTACTTCAAACTAGCCAACGCTGGTCCTGTGAGCGAATTAGCTGTAGCAATCTGCCTTTCCCACTGCTGCTTCCCTCTTATAGAAGGCAATAATAGGAGCAATGCGACAGTCAGGAAGGCATAATGATGAGTTTGACTGCACCGGCTGTGGTGCCGAGACAGTTTGGAGATCCGCACACAAATCGAACAAGAAAGCAAGATCGGGGAGCACAGGGTGTCTGCGATGGCTGATGCCGTTTGGACTCCAAGAACTTCCGCACCAGGCGGAAAATAAATTGTGGGGACGTGGTCACGTACCATGCCTTCCATCTCACGCGCAGCTCTGGCGCCGTCCTGCCTGGTCCTCAATCGTTTTGTTTTCTCTTTTTTCTTTGTTTATTTATTAGTCCGCGTTCATACCGATGAGAATAACGATTTTTCAGTAGGGCGCAAATGGCTCACAGAAGCAATACGTAGTGCGGCTGCGGACTTACACCATTTTCGACGCGCTTTACCTCAAGAAGGCAGTCTTGTATGACTCTCCTTTGGTCATCTTTAGTGTATAAGTTCCTTTTGATGATTTTTAATGCAAAAATACTCTGAAAAGGTGAAGTTGGTCCATTTAATCGTCAGGTTTCAGTTTGTGATCCGGTGTTTTACTAGCTAACGTAGAATCCTCAAACTATCCTTGTTCATGGACGCCTAACGTGTATTAGTCTTTTGTTATGAGGGCTCCTTGTCTTGGTTCTTCTCACATGATAGGAGCCGGTATGAAATAAATTTGGCTCGTCTTCCGTTAACACAATGACGTTCGGTAAATGAATAATATGAGGAATGAAACCTGACAAGTAAATGAACCAACTTCACCTTTCCAAAGTATTTTAGCATTCAAAATCATCAAATGAAACTCAAACACTAAGAATGACCTGGCGAAAACCATTCAATTAAAAGCAAAGAAAAACAAATATTTGGTTGGAGAAAACGCTCCAAAACACATGATCCATTTCGCTTGTTTATCAGACGAACTACCTAACTGTTGTTTCGACAACCCGAAGCTCTTGGGTTGACGACAAAAGGACAATGACTTATACGGGAAGGAGTTGACGAAAAAGATGAAATAAGAGAAGTAGTAACTAAGACGCTCATGCAAAACTTATGCAATATAAGGAATGGGTTGAAAGGAACAGGACAACGGACTGAATGAAGGATAATAAGCAGAGCGTGTTACAAACACGAGCGTGCATTATGAAAGATTATACTTGGAAGGCTACAGCCATCTGAAGGACTATTATATGTATACAGGAATGAAGTTATCAAACGAGAGTTAATCTCAACTAGCATTACCAGTGAGAATACATTAAGCCAGTTTACTTACTTTCAGCACTTGTGAAATATAGATTTGTTTTTTGTAAGAACATTTAACTGCGTTAATTATAATAAAGTCTCCTTTGTAAACTTTTCCCAAAGGTGTTGTGACAATATCCGTTATTTTGCTTTCGAATATCAATGATCGAACAGATATAGAAATTTATTAATAAGGGAAATGTTTGTACTACTATGCACTACTACTGTACTACTCTGACTACCTCAAAGCTAGAGTCATCTGTTTTTGTACAATTTAGTATTTATTAATCCTTCCGTTCACCATGTTGACTATCAGATCTGTATAATTATTGAAAACTCCAGTTATACGGGTCTTTTCCTGGTTGAAGGCTAACTTCATGTACTTCAATAAGCCGTTCCTTCACGTCGCTTCCTACTTGATTATGAACGGAAACTGGCGCTTTGAGGTAAAGCGCGTCGAATACGGTGTAAGTCCGCAGCCGCATTGCTTCTGTGAGCCATTTGCGCCCTACTGAATAATCGCTATTGTCATACCGATGCGCTGCCCTTGGAGTGATACGTAACTCGGCGCTCCTCCGGGCAAATCTTATGGAGCTCACGCAGGTGCCTTTGCCGTTCAACCAACATTTTCGTGTCGTTTTTCGCGAAGAACGTATGGACTCATCTGAATTTTCAAGGAGGTAGCTGAAAGAGGCGAAACAGTTGTCTCTTTGACCGTGGACATTCTCGCCCACGCTGCGGCCACAATTCGTGAAGATCCGGCTGCAGAAAGTGATGGAGTGCCAATATGGGGTGTAGTTGAAGGTTAGTTCGAGAATTCTCCTTACTCCATTTTGAGGGGTTGCATTTACTTAACTACAGGTGCCGTATCCGCCTTGCACCAACTGGCATCGCATCCAGCAGTGGCAGCTCATCTGTGCGAGGATCCGGCTTTCTTGACCCTTATAGTCGAGTTTCTCTCCAGAAGCGATGTGAGTTGGGAAGGCTACGTGCTCATTTACCCAGGAGCTTCAGGTTAAGCATTGGTGGTTTTAAGGTTTCTGGTGCTGAAGACGAATTGCTTGAGCGTGAATTGCTCAGCCTTCTCTACCAGCTTGGTATGACTCCCGAAGGCTTAGTAAGACTCTCGCGCACAGTTGAAGAAGCTGGTATGAATTTATTAGAATTTGTTGTAATTGAGAGCTTTTCGAAGGTAGTAATTGTCCCTTAAGGCGTCACACCGATCTTGGTCGAGGCCATGCGATCGGAACACAAATCCGTTGCTACTTATGCTTCTGGTGTACTGAAGAATTTGGAGAACGACAAGCCAGCACCATATAGACAGGTACGGTGGAATTGTATTGAAAATGTGTCTTTAAATGAAATAGGTGAATAGATGAAGCAGCTCACAGCAGAAATGAGGTTGTTATGGGGAAGGAAAACTAAGAGGAATACATTTCAGATTCGCCACCTATGTGACGAAATACAGTATGATGGCTCAGGAGCACCTGATCTTTCCTATCCTACCAAGTCAGCAGTCTTAGGATTGTGATTTTATCTACTGTAATTGACAATATTCCGATTCCAGTCGTTTTCATACATACGTCTTCATATGTAATTTCCTGTCGAGCGAATTCTTGTTTTATAGAAGTGATACGCAATAAAAAAATTTTCATCCAACTAACTGTCTGTATTGTATTTAGATCTTATCCCAATGCATCCCACTGGGTATTTGTTATGCGCGTGACCCCCTTTCCTCATGTAGCCGACGGGCGTAACAGAGCAAACGCAAAAGACAACGTCAGGCTTGGGGATCGATTCAGTATACACAGGACCAAACAACCAATGAAAATGTTACATAGTGATAGCACCAGATGCTATTACTATGTAACATTTTTGCTTACTGCTATTACTCTGTGTAACATTAAGAATTGAATAGATGGCAGTTTTACAACTAAAATCTGTTCGCTCTCAGTCCTCCCGATGTACAGGTCGGATTTCTACCGCTTTTTGCGAAGGCAGATATTGGCTGCTTAACGAGGGTAAATACTGACTAAATGTCGAAGGCGAAAACTCGATCCACAGAATTTGCCGCGTTGCAGATTCAGCGGCGAGTGTAAACGATAAAGCCCTATCTCCAACATCTCGGGCACCACCGAGCGAATTTTCAAGTGCTGCGTGTGAGATGGAAGGCATGGTACGAATGACGACAGCGCCCCACATTTATTTTCGCGTGGTGCGAAGTCTCTTGAGCCCATAACGGCATTCGCCGGTCCTGCGATGTGCCCAGACTCGCCCTCAGTGAGGGATTGAGTCCTAAAATGAGCTACTCAATTCCAAAAAGTCAAGTTTGGTTCTGACGCACATCATGGATCAAAAAAGGTTGTTTTAAAACCAGCAAGCAAAATGCTAGCGAAATAGAGAAATGCAGGGCGTTTTGCAGCCAGAGGCGAGGGATAAGTAAAGTCAGAAAAAATTGGATTTGGGACTCTCAACTGGCAAAGGACCCAGAGCGTTGATAGTCATTAATTCAAGTCCAGTATTGTCGTAAATGGGTCAGCGACATCGTCGTGTGAGTGACTAAGTTGGAGGAGCTTTCGATATCAACAGATTTCAGTATCAACATCGATTGATATTGATGGGAGGCAGGTGTCGGGCTCTTTCATTTTTTTTTTTTTTTTTTTTTTTTTTTTTTTTTTTTTTTTTTTTTTTTTTTTTTTTTTTTTTTTTTTTTTTTTTTTTTTTTTTTTTTTTTTTTTTTTTTTTTTTTTTTTTTTTTTTTTTTTTTTTTTTTTTTTTTTTTTTTTTTTTTTTTTTTTTTTTTTTTTTTTTTTTTTTTTTTTTTTTTTAGTTCGTGTGGAGTAATCCACACGTTGTTCGATCAAGATTCAACAAAGAATAGATCGTAGCAGCCAAACAGCCGCAATGCTAAAAACCGAATGTCATAGTCCGTGATTTAGAGAAGCGGATACGACCCACATAGACAAAGTTATCACTGGCAAACTATTTTTGGATTTGCTGTAGAGATGAACTATGCGAGATTGAAGACTAGAGATGAAAAATAGTGCTTCCGGCAATGCTGGCTCGAAAACGACTGAAGGACAACTGAAGACAGTCATTTATGACTTTTTTCTTGAGGTCGGCTCGTCCGACAAAGGTTGGACAACTACATCCGTTTTTTCTCGTCTCGAAGCCATGGCAACCATACGGGAGAAGCACGCTCTGCATATCAGGCACAGCAGAAGTGACGTCGCCAACATGTGAACGGTCAAACCTGCGTCAACAGTGAAGCAGGGTATATTGAGGCAGAGGTGGGCCCCTAAGCTAATTCAATAAGAAAAGCGAAGATAACTGATATCAGCCACATTTTTACACCGAGGACAGTGTAATGCATTGACAACACAAAATGAAGTGAGGGAAGTCATCACGGTTATTCGAAACACTCCACGTGGATAATTATGTGAACACAAGTGAGAAAAAAATAATTCAAAAAAATCATGTAAACTCAAGAAAGTAATTTTCTTCTAGTTTATTTTCCGCTAAGCCTGAGCAGTCCAAGAAGGTGCTCAAGAAATGTTTGACAAGTGTACGATGAGCTCATGTCGATAGAAAACACTTCAGTCTTTTGCACGAGAGATTCGGGTGGACACGTTTTTGTTTATGCAAAAGATCCCGACTTACGTGAACACAAGGAAATAAAAATTATGAGAATGCACTTTTATACGCTAGAAATACTCTAATCTTCCTTTGAACCTCCCCTAAAAAGTCAGTAGTAATCCCGTACGGTCCTCGCTAGTGAGTCACACCCAGTCATCTTTGAAAATAAACCAAGGAGATTATTCGTCCAGATGACGTTAGACAATCCGGAGTGAGATAGAGCGAGAGAGCCGACAGCTAGGGGAGTTTTGCACTCTCGTCGCATTAGAAGGATTAGATGTCAGGCAGCGTTCATACTTCGCGACAGCAGCGGCGATCGCGGCGATGGCGCGGCGACCTCGGCGATAGCCGCGATCGTCGCCATCGCCGCGATCGCCGCTGCTGTCGCGAAGTATGAACGCTGCCTGACATCTAATCCTTCTAATGCGGCGAGAGTGCAAAACTGCGACTCAATTTCATGCTTTTTTCTCCTTTAACTGCAATTTTCTTAGATACTGAAGCTTGGTTGACACAAAGAAAGGTGAACCCAACTTAATGGCTTTTGTTTTCTATTTTCTTTCTTGATTCAGGATAGAAATGAGCAAAAAGCGTGAGAGCTTCATTTAGGGTAGGTTTTTATTGTTTTTTTCATTCGTCGAGCTTATACATGAGGTTATAAAGTTTTCACCTGTTGATGTTGCGTAAAATGATTAGTGTTTTGGTTCCTAGGTGAGTTTCTTTCTGTTTCTTTTTTTTCTTCGTTGTTTGAACTCGACTTGTGAACTATAATGTTTTGGAAGTTGGAACAGTTCAGACGATAGGAATTTGAGGCGCTTGCATAAATTGAAACAATAAAAACAAAAGAAAGAAGCTCACCCAGGAAATGGAGTTGGCCTCATCCCGACCTAAAAAGAAGTGAAACCTCCTTACCTCATATTCCAGATCCGCTTATGTATAGAAAGTCGTAAGTTATCAGTTAGTAGCCATTATTAAGAGAAAAGAAGGTCTCACAAGTTGGATTTCCTTATTTATCAAGCGAGCAGTCCATAATAGCGTTGGGGCGCGCTCTGCCACGTACCGACGATCGCCGCGATCGCCGCTGCTGTCGCGAATTATGAACGCTGCCTCACACAATCGGATCAAGAATATAGAATAGAGCGCCACCATTTAGCGTTACCACCTTTCCCACGAACATTCAAGAAAACTTGTATATGCGAGGTATCTGGCATCCTGCCCAAGAACATGACATTCATTCTTGTGCAGTGCATTCTAATCATCAATGCTTTGCAAAGGTCGAGCTGGCGAGGAAGAAATCACTCCTTCTCCCAGGCCAGGGTACAGCATCGAAATGTGTGAAATGGCAGAGTCTGTGTGACCTCCTCCCCCTTCCACGACAAAATTTCTTGGTATGACCCCTCGCCCCCATCACTCCGGCTCTAATTGTTTGCTATACGAGGAGAGTTGGACAAGCAACGAGCAACGTCATCGGAACCCACAATACCCGTTAGTTAAAAAGATACTTTCGATGGGTCACCCTTGGTAGACATTCTGAACCACTCAAAAGCTCGACTCCTTCTGTGCCATTGTAAGGATACTCATTCGCAAACTTCAATATGCCCTCAACACGTATTCCCGTTGAACCGAGTCAGAGCATAATTTGTTTATCATCGATCGATTTGGTATGAGTAGGCGCAGGACGTAAGGTAAACGGCAAAATCGCACTTGAGCATCCGGCACGCGGTCCCGGCACGATTACCCTGAAGATGCTGCGCGCGCTCATACGGTCGCACAACCGCGAAGTATGAAAGCGGTCGTATTTTGCATAATCGAAGATCAGGCGCGCACCTGACGAAGCTCAAAGGAAGCAAAATAGATGTTTCAATTCGAAACGCTTTAAATGACTTGCCATGTGACTTTGCCTTTTCTCGGCTATGGCAAGAGGAAATTCATTATTGGATTTTGAAAAAGGACAGATAATCGCAAAGAAGACTCAAGGACTGTCGAACCGTCAAATCGCACGGGATTTGGGCCGCAGTCATCATGTGATCAACAATTTTGTCAAGCAACCTGCAGGATATGGAGTTAAGAAGAGCTCTGGGCGTCCTCCTTTGCTCTCTGATCGGGATAAGCGCCGTATTTCGAGAGAAGCATCCAATTCTCCAATGTCGTGCCGGGAAATAAAGTCAACTTTGAGGCTTAATGTCTCGAAGGAGACTGTTCGGCGTATCTTGAAAAACTCCTGAGTTCACCTACAGGAGGAATATGAGCCAGGCACTGTTTCTAACAAAAAACTATCGCGAAAACCTAATTGGCTTTGCTGGAAGATGTTGCCGAACCGATTGGAGTAAGGTTAGTTTTTGGCTGAGCGTGATTCACTCGTCACCAAACCGTCTTGCCCAGGCAGCCGGTACCACTTAAACCCAGTCGAGAATGTGGCGCAAGATCTGTGCGGACAATGCGCGATTCCACGATGTCCGTGAGCTTAAGAAGTCAATCATTGATGCATGGCAGCATGTCGAGTGAAAACTCATTTGAAACCTCTATTCGAGCATAGACAACCGCATTTTCCAGCTTATTCGAAGAAATGGGTTCCATTTAAATGGGACCACTAAACCCACAATTTATTCATTTTGTTGTGCACTTGTTGTTGGATGATCGATTTGTTTGGTGGAGCTATCATTTTGTGGAATTGTCAGAGTACCGAATTTTCAAAAAAATGAAAAACAAAAACCAAAAAAAACTTGTTCTTTCTAAGTCTAGTTTCGCGGAGTTGAACATCCAAACTGGTATTCATTGTTCTCCGTTGAGAATTTTTCTTTTTGAGGACATTTTTGATTATCTCACGTAAAGACAGGATTTTGTAGTAGAGCTATCAATATGTGGAGCAGTATACAACACAAAATGCCACGTTCTAAT